CAGATTAGAATTAACCCCAGTTAGCAGGTCTGCACCCAGTGCTTAGATCTACAAACTCAATCGAGCGGATCTACGGACCTAGTTTAGGAGGTTTGCAAACCCGCTCGCCTAGATATGCAGCTAGTGTATAAAGTTTGTAGCCTTATCTAGTCCCACTAAACAAATTTATTATTCTTTGTTGCGGGGTCTGTAAGCCTAAAGATATGGGTTTGCAGCCTCACCATGTCCTACTGAATAGTACAATTTATAGTGAAATTACTTATAATTTACAATAATTCACGCTATAATATCAAACAGTGCAATCTAAAATAAAAGCACTTATAATCCACACTAACTCACCCTATAATAAAACACAATTAGTAACCCAAGTTAAAATAGTGAAAAGAAAAAAAAATATTCATAATTAATACTTGAAATTTTTGTTTGTATATCTATTGTTCAAAGACTTAAAAGAGTAATTTATGAGTTGATACCACATGTTAATTAATAAATTTAACCTCTCTCTAAAACAAAGAACAAAGAACATCCAGTCCTTTTTGGTATAAAATCGTTGCTATCTAAAAGCATATTTTAGGATTTTTAATTTTTTTTTTATAAACTAGATGGTGACTTTCCTTCTAGCTTTTTCAATTTGAAAGTCTCATATATCGGGTAAGAATAATTAAAGTAAGTTTTTTCTCAATCATTTTATCCTACATGTTAGCTTTTTGGCACTTTATTTGGATGAAAAGAACTCTAAAAATGCTTAATAAAATCATAATATTATACAACGTATATATTTGTGTTATGTATAGACTTTATATGAACAAAAGACTTCTTTAGACAAAATTACTTTGCAAGTATTGCAAAATAATAGTAGTTTTGGTAGGAGAAGATAATATAATTTTATATTATTAAGTATTAATATATGAAAATTCAATATTTTATCAAGTTGTTTTTTCTTTGGAGCTTTTTCAAGTGTTTTAAATTATAGATATTATTAAATATAAAAAATAAAAAATAAAAAATAAAATGACATTATATTATGATTTATCGCATATTACTTTTATATTTGATTAAGTTTATATTGATCGTATAATAAACTAACTTTACTTTTAAATAATAATATATCAATATAGTTTTTTAATTAAAAAAATATCAACATGCATTGCAAGAAAAAAAACGAAGCTCTCTTTTTTTAAAAAAAAATTATGAAACTTTCTTATAACAAAATGACATAATGAATATTATTTTAATTTTTAACTATGCTTTGGTTTAGGAAATCAAACTTGAGTAAGATAAGTTACATATTAAAACTATCATTGTAGCATATATTAAAATAAATTTTTTTTTAATTTTTAATTTTTTTTTACTTAAGGGGATGTTTTCACAAATGTATATTGAAACAATCACTTGTTGCATTCATGGCCATTGATTTTTATGAAAATTGTTGAAAGATGAGTATATTAAATAAATGAGAAAATTACATCGAGCTTTTTATTGTTAGATTTTTTTTTCTTGTTATTTTTCCTTTGTTATTTGGAATATTACACTTTAAACCCTTGAGTTTATAAATTCATAACACTTAATGCTCTTGCCTCAAAAAAATATTAACAAAAAATATTAAATTATTTATAAAAATACAATTATATTTCATTTAATCATTAAAGAGCCCTTGTAATATTAATATTACTAATTTTCCATTAAATATATAATTACCATCAAGGAATTTAGAAACACTATTATGATGAAGATGGAGCTCATTTACATATCAAACAAACATAATTTCAAGCAACAAAAAGGCTACAAAATATCCAAATACCACATTGTAATAGCAGTATAGTAAAATATTCATGGGAACAAGTTACTAAAAGAAAAAAGATTTGAATGTCCCAAAAAAATGTCAGAACTGAATTAGTATTAAGTGATTTAGGCATCAATGTCTTCTTGTTTTATGAGAGAGAATATGAGAGCAATATGAGAGCATGGAGAAAGATAATTGTTTTGATTGAATGCGTGTTTGTATAAATGTTCTGTTTTTTTTTTCCTAGTGCTCTTGGCTTGTTCTATTAAGTTTTTGAAGAATACTGGGAAATCAATCAATATAAGCAACAATAAAAGAGTTCTCTCTTGCTCCAAAAAAAGAAGAAAAAGTTTCAAAGCAAATGTGAAGCTTCCTCGTCGTCTCCTAAGGTGGTTTTACAAGGACTCAATAATGTTAAGGACTTCATTTGTATCTGTATATATCTGTTATTCAACTTCTCTCTTCCTCCTTATTTTTATTTCTTTAAATATTTGGTTTCTCACAAAATATGGATAAATCATGATGAAGATGTTAAATACAAGATACATAAATAATATGTTATTTAGTGTATGAGATAGTTGTTAATTAATATATTCTGATATTTAGATTTCTACTCTTTAGACTAAGAAATTCCAAACTTATGGTAAACGCTTGAGGACCTATAAAAACAGTAATTGAAAAGGACTTAAAGATCCAATAATGATAAAATCAATATATTTAGAAGAAATGCAATAAATAACTTAAAAAAGCCTTAAATTTCAAGAACAAAGATTTTTATTTTTGAGTTTTAATTTAGTTAATGAAATGAAATCTTTGAGTTTATCTTAAGAGATAAAAGTTCTGAATCATTACTTGAATAGTTCAGAAAGTATTTATACCCCTCTGAACTATATAGGTTTCAGAGAAAAAAAAAATCATATGCTTTCAACGACATTAATAAAAGATAAATATCTCTTACATATTATTAATAAAATAATAAATATAGTAAGTCCCTTAAGATATTTTATATAAACCTATAAGTATAGGAGAATTATTATATCAATATAAATAATTATTTTAGATAAAAAGGCATGACGATTTATCATACCTTCAATACTTTTATTTTAAGGGATCGTTTAGGATTAGACTTATAGCCTTAGAACTTGGTAATGGTTGAATCCAAATGCTTCGAGTCTAACATACTTTTTATATCCATGTTACCTTAAGTTTGGCTGAGTGTCATGCCAAAGTGCTTTTAAGTTTAGCATGTTTGTTAAACTCTCATTACCTTGAGCTTGGTTGATTATCAAGTCTAAGTTCTTTGGCTGTAACATGTTTGTCATACCCTTACTGCCTTAAGCTTAGCTAATTGTCAAGCGTTTTGGGTTTGGCATAGTTGTTAAATCTATGCAACCTTGGACTAAGCTAGTTAGCTTGTGAAGCTCTTACTATCTTAGATATTGTAGACAATTAAGTTTAAATTCTTTAGATGTAACATGCTTGTTGGACCCACACTATTTTAAGTTTGACTAACTATCAAAATCAAGTATAATTTTTAAAATAACAAAAACAAAGTGAAAAAATAATTAAATTACAAAAGACTTGGAAAAAATCTTTCTAAAGAATTTGAACAAACTGAAAGTAAAATTGATTGATTTTTTAATATATAAGAGTATGGTCTAGTTAACAAATATACCTTATATTTTTATTTTTACAAAAATATAATAATATCTTAATCACTATACCAATATTTTATATATATATATATATAAAATGACAACTTGTGAAACTAAAAATTAATATTACATTTATTTTTATGGGAAACGGACAAGCATCTTAAAATATTTGTTACAATAATTCCTTTAACCTGTCATTACACCTAATCCGCTGCAATACTGGATGGCCCCATGGGCAGACATCATCCCATGAGCCATCGGATTGGACTGCTGAGCATCCAGCAACTTGGTCCTCCGACAAGAAGAACGACCGATGGGAGGAGGAGGTGTTGTGTTTCTTTTTATTTTTATATAACACACAAACCAAATCTCATTCAATTTGCACGCTTTGAATTGATTTATAAGAACAAAGAATGTAACACTTCATGCCTTGAAAGAGCAATCCTCCAGTTTTGGGTTCCATTATTACATTTTAAAAATCATTTTTACTACTCTAGACTTAATTATATTAAATAAATTGATTTTGTTTTAATTAAATAATTAAAAAAATCACAGCAAAGAAACAAAATTTAAAAAATATTATAACTCAATTACCAGCTCGTAAATATAAAAGGATAAAGTTTGATAAAAATACTTATGTTTCAGAATTTATTAAATATTTTATTTTATTTTATTTGATGTTTGTTTAGAATTGTAGTTAATAAACAAATAAAATTTTAAAAATATTGTAACTTAATTATCATCCCATAAATATAAAAAGGTAAAATTAAATAAAAATACTCATGTTTTAGGTTTTGTTAATTTTTTATTTTATTTTATTAGGTGTATATTTTGAATTGTAGTGAAGGTTTTTTTTCAAAATAGATTTTAACTTGAAAATAAATTAAAATGATTTTTTTAGAATTATTTTAGTTTTTTATATTAGAATATTAAAATCATTAAAAGAATATTAAAAGAATCAATTTAATATTTATTGAAATTAAAAACACAAAAAAGTAAAGTAGGAACACTCCAAAAGACAGCATTACAGCCGGCCTAAAATCAAATAAAATATAGAAGAAGATGAGATGCAAAGATTTTATGAGGTAAGCCTGTGGTTTTGTTGACTGAAATCAGACGGGCGATACTTTTTTAAAGCAAAATTTCCCGCGATTAACAGAGTCTATGTTAAACGTGTGTCTCTCTCCCCCTCTGTGAGACGGCGTGTCCCTTCCCCTAATCGTCTCGTGTATCAGTCAACTACTGGTCACTTGCAACTATTCATGGCCATGGCTTTATAGCTCTCTGATTTTCCCAGATTTTCTATTCCCATTCTTCAAATCGTAAGAACATACAGACATATATCCACACTATCAAGCTTAGCTAGGGCTGTTTTTGTGTGTGTTCAGACAACAAATTCTGCATCCAAAACATATTACTATTTCATAAGAAACTAGCAAAGCAGCTCCCACGATTCCAAGTTATCTTCTTTTATCTTCAACTGTCCTCTTATCGTAAACCAAGCATACTTGTTGATTGTATTGCCTTTTTTCTAAACCCTGCTTGAGTCCATCCATTTTCTGATTTCTGGTGGGGATTTGACAGAAAATCTACAACTTTCCCGGGAGATTTTTTCTCCAATTTCCCCGGGGAAGTGGAAAACACAGTCTTTCCACGTGATCAAATTCATGTCAGAAGAAATCGGGGTTTTATCAGAGAGAGAGACAGAGTAAAATGGAAGCTGGCGAAGGAGTGATAGACAAGAAAGGAACAAATGACGTGGTGATTCACATTTCAACCACGAATCAAGATGCTAATACTAAAGCTTACTCCTTTTCAAAGAATTCCCAGTTGGGTTCTTCTCCAAGAGACTCATCAGCAAATCTTGAGCTAACAGAGTTCGAGAATCTGTCGGTGAGAGTTCAAACATCTCCTTCTTCGAAGATACCAAAGCCAAGCCCAGCTCCGAGTCCAACACCACACAAACCTCCAAAAATCCCAACAATAGACTCCATAACAAGAAGAAAATCACTTGCAAGGTCTGAATTTTCGAAGCCAAAATCAAGACTGGTAGAGCCATCCTATCCATATGATGCAATCTTAAAGGAAGAGATGAAGACCGGCCAGTCGGGGAATTCAAGCTCACCGCGTAATGTTGCTTCACCAAATCACACACTTGGTGTTACTACACCAAGGGATAACTTGAGGTCAACTCCAATCACCCCAAAAACTCCGTTGATTGGAACGCCAGGACTAGACGATGATGATGATGAGGTCTATAGGACGGCAATTCTTAATTTGGGCAAAATTACGGGTAAGAAATGGAAAGTATTACCCTTGATTGAGTTGATTGCATTTGTGTGCATCATGGGACTGTTAATTGCCAGCTTGACTGTTGACGGATTGCTGAATTCAAAGATTTGGAGTTTGAAGTTGTGGAAATGGTGTGTGCTCGTATTAGTTATTTTCAGTGGTAGATTGTTTACCGAGTGGTTTATGAATGTTTTGGTTTTCTTGATTGAAAGGAACTTCTTGCTAAAGAAGAAGGTGCTTTATTTTGTATATGGGTTGAAAAAGAGTGTTCAGGCTTTTATTTGGTTAGGCTTGGTACTGCTAGCTTGGGGTTTGTTGTTTGAAAGTGGAGTTAAACGATCCAGGCGAACTACCAAGACTCTGAATAACATTACAAGAGCCCTTGCTGGTTGTCTTATCGGGGCTGCTATATGGCTGGCGAAAACCTTTTCACTCAAGTTATTAGCTTCTTCTTTTCATGTTACTAGATTCTTTGATAGAATTCAGGAATCAATATTTCATCAGTATGTTCTCATAACTCTTTCTGGGCCTCCCGTGATGGAGATGGCTGAAAGCATTACGAGCACTAAGACGCTGCCGGGCCAGTTGAGTTTTACGAATACTAACAAACAGAAAGCAGAGAAAAAAGAAGAGGTGATTGATGTTGATAAGCTTAAGAAAATGAAACATGGGAAGATCTCTGCTTGGACCATGAGAGGATTGATTAATGTGATTAGTGGTTCTGGCTTATCCACTCTCTCCAACAACCTTGACCAGAGTGATGAGGAGGATGGTGAGAAGAAGGATGAAGAGATTACTAGTGAGTGGGAAGCAAGGGCTGCGGCTTATAAGATATTCAGGAATGTGGCAAAGCCTCATAGCAAGTGAGGATATCTACCTTTTAAAATCCCTGCAATTTATTCGTTAAGATGAAATTGAAGATAGTTTAATTTGCAATGATCTCACTTTCTTTCCTGTTTAATGTGCTAGGTACATTGAAGAAGATGACCTCTTGCGGTTCATGAAAAAGGAAGAGGTGGACAACGTAATTCCACTCTTTGAAGGAGCAACAGAAACTCGAAAGATCAAGAGATCAGCTTTAAAAAATTGGCTGGTTAGATCTTTGTCAAATCTGTTCTTACAAATGGTCCATAGGCAACCAAGCTCTTTGTTCTTATTCTCTAAATCTTTTCAAGACTAGAGATAATGCCAGTGCCAGTACACTTGTCCTCAGCTACTTGTTTTGTCTTCGCATGCACTTTGGTTTACTGTTAGTAAAAACTTTAACTAAACTGCTATGAGCTTGTGCATGAAGATGCTTAATTTTTAAAGAAATTTGTCGTCTGTTTGCCTACCAAAAATCATCAGTCTTATGTCATGTTTCTCAACGGACTATATTATGAATTGGGGTATAGAACACTAGACTTGTTGAAGTGAACTTTTGGATATTTGCTAATGTAACACAGTTCCTGTTTGCAGGTGAATGTTTATAATGAGCGCAAATCATTGGCACACTCCTTGAATGACACAAAAACAGCCATTGAGGAGCTGAACAAATTGGCTTCTGCTGCTGTGCTTGTTGTGATCGTTGTTGTGTGGTTGCTTGTGATGGGATATTTAACAACCAAAGTGCTTGTCTTCATTTCATCTCAATTATTACTCGTGGTTTTCATTTTTGGTAACAGTGCCAAGACCGTGTTCGAAGCCATCATATTTGTGTTCGTCATGCACCCATTTGATGTTGGTGATCGTTGTGTCATTGATGGAGTGCAGGTATGTGTCCCTGATCCTTGCACCATTAAAATGCGAAGGTCAACCATGTACACTGACACCCTGACTGGCTCGTTGCAGATGGTTGTTGAAGAGATGAACATTTTGACCACTGTCTTTTTAAGATACGACAATGAGAAAATATTCTATCCAAACACTGTTCTTGCTACCAAACCTATCAGCAACTTTTACAGGAGCCCAGAAATGAGTGATTCTGTGGAATTCGCTGTTGATATATCCACTTCAATTGAGACTATTGGAGCTCTGAAAGCTAGGATAAAAGCGTACGTTAAGTCTTTTACAGATGTCTTTATCCCTGTTATTGTCATTTCATATACAAATGATTGATTTGCACAGAGATTCTATACATGTATCATATAAGTGGAGGGGGGGCTGATGAATATCGGCAGAGGGGATTAGCCTGATTGACCGAATATTGCCCATTTCTGTTTTACTACATTTTGTTTCTTCTCTGTTTTGATTTCGTCGACCATGTATTCTCTTAACTTGTTCCTTCCTGTCAATTCTCATTCAGTGGCTTTGTTTTGATGTATCAGGTACCTGGAGAGCAAGCCACAGCACTGGCGGCCTGGTCACAGTGTTCAAGTTCAAGAGATTGAGAATGTGAATAAGATGAGAATGGCCCTCTATGTTAATCACACTATAAACTTCCAGAACAGTGGAGATAGGGGAAACAGAAGATCTGATCTAGTGTTAGAGTTGAAGAAATGTTTCGAAGATCTTGGTATTAAGTACCATCTTCTGCCTCAACAAGTTCACCTCAGCTATGTCGGGACAGCAGCTTCAGTAGCTCCAGCGCTTGCAAGATGACGGTCCCTCTTCTTTGTCCCAAATTTCTTCACCTTATTTTCTTTCTCTGCTTCACTTCTCGTGCCTGAAATCTGAATCTCAGTCGACATGGTGGTGGCTGGTGTCTTTGAAGCTGGGATTTTCTTTGCCATGTTTGGGGGTTGAAAAAATAGTAGCATTTGCCATGTGTTTTCTAGTTGTTGAGACTTCGAGAGAACTGTAATTTTTGCACTTCTTCTCTTCTACTTGTCGCTCGAGGCTGTGATTTTCAATATTCTCTTTCATATTTTTGTTTTCTTCTCCATTTCAGCATCTTGTTTCCCGTCATCACTCTGATTATTCTCTTTTTGTCTAGTTTGATCTCTTCTTGGTTCCGACCTGATTGTTTTAAAATGCCTTGGGCTGGCCTTAAAAGGCTTTAAACCTAAACTCTGGGCATTTCAATCCACTTGGGCCCATTGGAAGGGCCCAAACAGTTTTAACAAGTGAAGGGATATCCAAATATGCAGTGCTGGGATTGCCAACCACGAGAACTCTCCTCCAAATTTCAAACTTGATGGTGATTGGTCCAATCCGATAACCTTATCCACCAATGCCCAACGGAGAAGCTGCCACGAAGGACAGATCAAGATGACCAGTCTTCCTGATATCTCAAATTTCCACCTCTCATTACCCCTCTTCCCTCCCTCCATCTTGTAAGGCAACCATTACAATAACATCTTCACCAATTATATTGGTAATTTCACCAAAAGAAAGCTTCTTGTTGAGAAGAGAGTAGAGAGGGCAGGAGCGAAGATCAGAGAAACAGATGGCTTCAACTTCAGCTGTGTCAATGGCGTTGCCATTAACTTATGCGGGCCAAAAGAGGGTTCCAGCCCCTGAGGCTTTCTTCAAGCCACTCCCAGCGAGGCCATCTAAGGCTATGTCAGCGTCAAAATCCAGTGGTAGGTTTCAAGTCAAGGCTTCGTTGAAGGAGAAGTTGGTCACTGGATTGACAGCAGGTGCACTTACAGCTTCCATGGTGATTCCAGAGGTAGCTGAAGCAGCTGGGCCTGGGGCTTCTCCTTCTCTCAAGAACTTCTTGCTCAGCATTGTGGCTGGTGGAGTTGTGCTTGGTGCCATTATTGGTGCAGTGATCGGAGTTTCCAATTTCGACCCTGTCAAGCGGGGTTAAGCAATGTACAATTCTGAGAATGTTTGGAATTCTTTTACAACTTCATGTTTTGTATCTTGTTTGATGCTTTCAATGATCCTCTGTGTGAAATCTTCAGATGTAACGTGGCCCAAGACTAGTGAAATCTAAAAATTACTTTTCCTGTCTGGATGCAACACAACATAGGAACACTACCTCTCTTTTATTGTGTTGCTCTGAAAGCACGATACTGTCATTTGAAACATGGAAATACTCGAGGAAGCAATCCTTCTTAGTCTCGTTATAAGATGAACAACTAGATAGACCATCTGAAATCTGATAACTGGGCTACCCAAGTCAATCTTGGGTGGTCCCTGAATCTGAACTTGAAGAAGATACCTATAATCACACTCGTCAAATTCTCGATTGCATCTATTACGTTGCCATCCTGAGTTTCTAGATCTTGTCACTTTCTTGTTACACTATCTCCAATCATCAAAGGGCAAGCTGTGTGACAGAAGGAATTTGTTTTGATGAAACTTATACTTGCCCTCACAGTGGCCCAATCAGGCTTATCTGATCTTCCAAGACCTTCATGCTTGATCTGAGACGCCATTTTGCGAATCTCATTCTTGGATCCTCCTGGCACTAAGCATCATCATGCCCCCTTGATCAAACCAGTCTTTCACAGCATGAGCCTAAGGAATACCTGGATTTATAAAAGAGCTGACTATAACAAATTGTTCCCAAGGATTTTCCATTGAAGTCGCTAACCTTCCCAGCTTTGACAGCTAAAACAGGGAAAAACCCAGAATCAACCATCTCTTTCAATTTTTGACCTTCCTTGCTGCACAAATCTCCCCAAATGGATAGTCAACTGCCCTGCCAGAGCCATCTTTTAGATTCAGAATCTTTCTTTTAGTTTCCATATACCATTCTTTCTCAATATAGGAATTAAATGGTTCCCATACATCACAATACGAATAAGATCAAATATGGAATTGTTTTCAGAAATCTCAATTTCACTTGCGGGTTTGAAGGAATTGCTGTTGTGGTATGGAGCTATCCTCTTCAGGGAAAATATCCAAAGTTGAAGTTGCCTCCAAGAATATCTCCCGCTCATTCTTCAAATGATTGAAATTATTCTGAGCAGATTTTAAGCTACCTTTTGAAATCAGATAACCAGCTTCAATAGCATCATAGCAGCAGTCAACAACAGCATTGAAGCAGGTCACTCCTATTTCGCCTCCGTCAGAATCAAGGTCAAAGTAAAAGACCTTCCCATCACCCTGAGCATTATTATAGCGACGAAGATCCCCTTTAGCAGTTACTCTGGCTTTGAAAGCCCAGCGTTCCTGATATGGATTCAAAGAATTAATAGGAATGATCCGTGCTGTGGCCTCATTCTTCACAACTGCACAATGATTTCTGTAACTTGGAGTGGGTCGAACAGTCGGTCCGAAACTCTGCACATCATTACCATGATTTTGGGCAGTCAAAGCAGGTCGGAGACTCCGCTTATTACTGCCCTGATTCTGAGTACTCAAAGTGGGCCGGAAACTTTTCATATTTCCACCATGACTAGCAGGCCGGATGCTGTGGATATCCATATTTACATGACTTTGAGAAGTTGGATTGTAATAAGCAAGCCCTACTCACTTCACTGAGTTGGTATTAGGGAATGACTTGTGAGCAGTAGCATCATGAAACATTTTCAGAATTTCCAATAATTTCAGTCTGGTATTATAGTTTCCAGGTTGAGCACGACAGTAATCCTGTATGAAAAGTGACCAAAACAGCCGTTGCCAGTAAAACAAGAGCCAAACACTTGCATTTAATCATTATTTCCCTCAGTTATAAGATGATCAAGTTATGTGATACCATTCAAAAAAGCATCATCTCCACGATTTTACAATAAAATTAAGCTAAACAAACATAATAAACTCTTAATTAATAATTAACATAACAGGAATTAAAATGAAACATAATTAATTTAGTTATAGTCCAGCTACCAGCTTAATCAATTTTTAGATTTCAAACTAAAACGTAGAATTTCCTTGAAAATAAAAATTCAATCCACATTTGAAATTCGATCATGTGAATTTATAGCAAATTAGTAATAATTTCGAGGAGACGAGATTTAGTTAGGGAAAAAACAACTAAGTGACTGACTGGCGCTTTTGAACGTGGCTGCAAATGTAATCGATCAATTGAATGACAGATCCTTTCCTGACAACGCCAGGCTTGACCCGGTCATTGAGCTAAGTACCAAGCATGGCGTGCTGAGTCAACACGGAATCAGAGACGAGGAGCCTGAACCTCTCCTGTGCGCTTCCCATCTGCTTTAAATCCAAGCCTGAACCAGCGGCATCAAGTTCACATCGCCACCGTTGATATCGTGCAGTTGCAGTGGTCGTCAGATTAACGGGGATCGTTTTAGATGGATTTAAATGGGAATTGAGTTTGAGTGCAACGGAAAGAAACCCAAGAAATATGATATGGAGGGCAGCAATGGCATTGCATTCCAGGGCAGGAAATAACGGGCTTCGGTTCTGGTTTTCAAAGAAAGCGATCAAAATATGCGGCGAGCAAGCACCCACCGAATTACGTTTCTACCCAGTTTCACTAATATCAATTATATTACGCTCCTAATTATATAATTCTAAATTAAAAAAGCAAAACGCTCCGTTTCACTTTGAACACTTATCAAATAGGGGGGGTTGGGATCTGTTTTTCAAGAGATACATTATTTATTATTATTATTATTATTATTATAATATTGATGGGAGACCACGCATCTTCTTCTTACATTTCAAGAGCATAATGATAAAATGATTAAAATATGTTTAAAAACTAAGAAAACTAAAAATAGGAATATTGATTTTTTAATACTTTGAAATAATGAAATGATTGCATTGCCTTAAAAGATAAAAACAAAAATTGACGTCTATTATTTCATTATAGTTTTTTTTAGTTATAATCAATTTTAACATAGAGCAATTCAGTTTTTAATAAATATAAATATAATAATAATAAATTAATATGATTGACATTTATTGAGGTCGCATGTATTGAGATAGCACATGCGGCAACTCCTAGTAATCAAATATCACCTCTAACAATTTTAAAAGAGTCAAGCCATTATCTTTTCAATGGTATATATATAATGGAATAGTGGTTGACTTCTAGTCGCTTGTTTTTCTTTAATCTCTTTTTTTTTTCTCATTTCAGATTTTGTGTTAGTCCTTTTAAAAATCAAATATGTCTTGTTAATATCTATTTATATTAATTTTGATTCTTAATTTTTTAAAAATTAAATATGTCATGTTAATATCTATTTATATCAATTTTGATTCTTAATCTTTTAATTGGTATTTGTTTAGCTTGTAAGGCTTTTTAAAGTTGATTGTTTTTTCAGTTTCATCCCTCTATATTTTATATCATTAATTTGTTTATCTAATTTGGTCCTTAATTGCTATTTTTTTTATTTCTTTTCTTGAATTGTTATTTTTGTCATTTGTATTCCTCAACATTTTATTTCATTTAATTTTTATCTCTAATTTGGTCCTTATTTTTTATATTGTTATTTTTTTAATCATTTTCTTGGTTTTTTTTCAATTTCAACCCTCAACATTTGATTTTATTTAATTTTTTTATTCAATTTGGTCATCATTTTTTTTATTGCTATTTGTTTTTTTATTATTTTTAGATGATTAAGAATTTTGCTTTATTATTTTTTCATGATTGTCTTCTATAGGATAATCTCGGTTTTATGACTTAAGCCATGGATTTTGAAGATTAGCCCTTTTCTTTTATGAAAATTGCTTTTTTTTTAAATTTTATTATTCAACATTAAGTTATTAGACCTTGAACTTTGTGATTTTTTCTAATTTGTTTTCATAGATTTATCTTGATCTCATATCTTAAGTTAGGAGTTCGTCGAGTTAACCTAAATTGGCTCATTTTTTAAATTGAATTTTCTTTTCTATTTCACCTTTCATCATTTAGTTTGCTTAGGACTTGACCTCCATTATTTAATTCAATTTCTTCTATACAGACTTATCTTAGTCTCATGATTAAGTCATAAATTTGATATACTGACTTGAGTTATGTTTTTGTCCTTTTTAAAATTGATGTTTTTTTTCAATTCATCATTCAAAGTTTACTTTACTGATAATTGATATAACCAAAATATTGATATCTTCTTCCAAGTATAGAAGTCTTGAAGTAATAAATAATCTAACAAGACTGGGAACAAACCATAGAGAGGTTAACTATAATAATAATAATAATAATAATAATAATAATAATAATAATAATAAGTCAAGGAAGACTTTGAGATGTAAGATTAATGTGAAGATTAAATAATGATAAAAAAAAATATCAAGATTAGAGGATCCATTAATGGTATTTCAAATAAGTATAATATAAACTCTTTTTATTGTTTAACTGAAACCACATACAAAGGAGGTTCCAATCAGACTAAAAATGGTTAATATGATTACATTAATTATCTTATTTGAATAATATTAATACTTATAAATGTTGTCAGATATTCATGATTATAACTTATGTTAACAACAAATCAAGTTCATTTCATAGCATAAATGTCGGTTATACTATACGGTTGGGTTATGAAAATGTCAGTATTTGTTGTACCAAGTGTTATAACCATTAAATAAGCAAAGTATTAAAAGTAAATAAAATAACAAATATAAAACATGTTAGTATCAGACATTAAAGTCTATGTTGAGTTTACACTATATTTATTATTACATCATTAGTGTAATATTTTTCACCTTGACATAATAAACTTAACTAAACATAATGAAAGAAGAGAAACATGAATAAACAAGATAAGAACATAAATAAGATATAAGTTAACTGAGTAAATGAAAGAAAATGAAAAGTATAAACAAGAGATTAATGAAAACAAAACTTAAATATTACAAAAATATTAAAAAGAAGAAGAAGCAAGAACATGATCTTGATCTGAAAACCAAGATACCTAAATGTATGACAAATGTCTCCTTTTATAGGTCAAAATGAGGAACTAATGATTTATTGACTAATTGTTTAATGGGTGGTTACATCTTGACTTGGTGACAATCCTTATTTTCTTGTCTGAACAAAATATCATTATTAATATCAGAATTCAAACAGACTTGAATCATGAAAGTTCTAGAAAATTGTTTTAGCTTTCAAATAAAAAAAATCGAGATTATTTGGACTTCTAAAACTCAAGATATGGGTTGAACACTAAATAGTATCTAGACTACAGGACATATTCAAACTTCTCCATTATTGCTAAGATTTTAACTTCTAAACAGCAGAATTGAGTTTTGCATTCTTATGAATATTTTAGGCCTATGTCTTAACTTTTTAACCATATAAACCAAATTAAAATCCAAGATTTATAACTATAGATATGACCCAATGACTGAATTGTGTTCTAGTTTGAATTGAACCAACATCTCTTTTATAAGCTTCACCTTCTCTTTGTTTTCTCAATTTCAGTAGTTGAACTTATCAATCAATCCTTTAATTTATATGATAAGCCTACATTTAAGATAAATATTTATCATAAATTAAAAGCATCTTATATTATTAAACATGTTATTATCAAATATGCTCTAATTAAGGAGTTATTGATACTTCAAGTGTAAAATGATAATATAAAATATTGATAAAAATAATTTTTTAAGTACTAATCAAAGAAGATGTTGAAAAGGCTCCACTCAACTTTAAATTAGAAAATAAATCTATAGTAGATGAACTTAAAGAGGTTAACTTAGACATCATTAAAAACCCACATTCGACCTTTATCAATGCAAACATATCATAAAAAAAAAAGGTTACATGGAACTTTTAATGAAGTACCAAGATATCTTCTATTGGTCCTATGATGAAATGTCAGGTTTAAACCTAACAGTTGCAATACATCAATTATCAATAATAAATAAGATCAAACTTGTAAAACAAGCATAACATCACTTTCATCCTGGACGCATCTAACAAATTAAGGTTAAAGTCAACAAATTTATCCAAGTGGGTTTCATTCATGAAGTCAAATATCCTACATGGATTTTGAATATCATATAAATGGAAAAAAAGAAAAAAAAGAAAGGTTAAATCCATGTTTGCATGGATTTTCAAAACCTTAACAATGTTTATCCCGAAGATGACTTTACACTTCCAACCACTGAAATCATAATGAAGACTACCAAATAAGGTTAAGCTTTATGAATGGTTCATTTGGCTATAATCAAATTTGGATAGCATCTATAAAAGCAAAGAAGACAAATTTTTAAACTCCAAAAGAAATATATTGTTATAAAATCATATCTTTTGGCTTGAAAAATACGGGTGCCATTTATTAAAGGGCAATACAAAATATTTTTTATGACATCTTTCATCAACACATTGAATGATACGTGGATTACCTTATGGTCAAGTTAAAGGGGGGGAAATCATTTGCAAGATCTTTATCTAGTGCTCGAATAAAGGAATGACACCAATTCTAACTAAAAATAAACCCATTAAAATGTGTGTTTGGTGTATCCTCTAGCAAATTCTTAGGATTCATAGTTCGAAATCAAGAAATTGAGAATGATAATCTAAAATTGATGCCATTATAAAGATCTTGAGCCATAAAACATCCACATATTGAAAAATCTCTCAGGAAAGTTGGCTTATATATAAAGATTCATTTCTAACTTAGTTGATCGGTGTAACCATTCACTCATTTGATGAAGAAGTATATGACATTTTATTATGATGAAGCTTGTAATAATAATTTCATTAAGATTAACGAGTATTTGCTTAATCCATATGTCCTCCCAGCACCAATTCTAAGATGTCCATTTTTCCTCTATATTGTAGCAAAATGCATTTTTTAGAAGTGTTGTTGGCACAATAAATTGATGAAGGTAATGAGAGTGCTCTCCACTACCTTAGTAAAACGTAAAATGGGGCGAAACTAAATTATTATCCAATAAAAAAAAACATGTCTAGCATTAATGTTATAGATATAGAAAAGGCATACCTCCAAGTATATGGAGCACAACTAATCTCTTAAATTATCCCTTTTAAGTACATCACCTCAAGGCTAGTATTTTCAGGAAGATTGACAAAATAGAAGTTACTGCTTCAAGAATTTGAAATTGTCTATTAGAAGTAAGCACTAGCTAATTTTCTCAGTGGTCATCCTTTTATTGATGAATGAGAGTTTTCTAAAGACCTGCCTAATAAAAATGTCTTATTTATTGAAATGCCAGAACCTTTGAAAATGTTCTTTGATAGTGCAATATGATAAAATGAAACTGGAGCCAAGATAATCTTCATCACATCAAAAAAAAAATCTTGTCATTTACCTTCTCAGTTATTGAATGTTACTCCAATAACTTGGCTAAATATCACAAGTATGTACTAAAATTGATGACATCATTTGATTGTATCACTTTAGAGCATGCACCTTAAAAGAAAATAACCAACCCTTTTAACAAATATAGCTTTAACATTAAAATCAAAGTCCATGTGTCAAAGATAGGTGATTTCATTGATAACTAGTGATGAAGAAAAGAAAGAACAAGTAAGCATGAGTT